TAAATAGCTTAATAGTTAGCTTATTGCGTGGTCTGTCGTACTTGTCAGTATTGGGGGTAAAATTTATAATAACGTATCTATTAATAACACAAACTGATATTTCACTGATACATTACTCAACATATTTATATTGATATTTGCATAATTACATATATGAAACACATACTTAAGGTGTAGTTTTAACATTCATAATCGATGTGCAGTGACGACAACTATCATAACCACTCTTTCAAATTAACTTAAATCCCGTTGAGAATATATTGTTATAGATTACAATTTAAATAAGAACAAAAGATTTCGAGAGAAAATATATGAAGACTTATGGTCGATTATCAAAAGCTAGACTATTTTACAGACAAAGAAGCCAATAAATTTAAGCTACACATACATATATATATTATTTTAATATATATCTTTATATGCTTTCAAATCTTGATGTGACCTCTTTAGATAATTGATTATTATCAGTTTTAATGTAATTATTTACGTAAATTGGATCTTAATAATAATATTATTACTATGTAACTTAGAAATTTGGGAGTAGATGAATCAAATACATTGATAGCTCCAGATTTACCCCAACTAGTCGCACATAATTGGTTGTGACACTAAGTTATCCCGCGGATTCAATCCATAGTGAAAGCTTCTTTTTATGTGTTCAGTTTTGAGAAAAAAAATATAACAGATTTATTTTATAATAATAGTAGTAATAGTCACCGTTTTTGTGATTATTACTTTAATGTTATACACTTATTCCATATATTGGTTTCCAATAAATCACTAAATTATGATTTTTACATTCTAAAATGCCAATATAATCATAGTGCTTTTATTAAATATAAATTAAATTCATACAATTCAATGAAAGCATCCATAGAAATAAAGAATTCTATTGATTTAATTATATAAATATAATGTGAGAGTATGGTCAATGGATTTTATAGAAAAATTCCATTATTATTTCTTATATTTATTATATTTGAACACATAATTTTTTTTCTGGTATTCCAAATTCCGTTGAAGTTTGCCGAGGTAATGAAAAATACGTGGGACTTACGTACAAACGATTACAAAGTCGGTCATTAGGTATGCTTGTAAATATCCTGAAACTCAAGCGTCTGCTATATTTAACTAGTTTATATATATATATATATATATATACATATATACTAATAAACAGCCCTTATAAAGATTACAATTATACTTATAATCAATCGCTGATTGGCTATTGGAAATTAAAAACAATCAGTATAAAAAAGCAATTAGTAACTTCAAGAAGTAGTTGCAAAAACTTGTAAGGGCGGAAGTTCTAAGAATCGTAGTGTACATGTCATGCCCAAATACGCAGTAAAAGTTTTAATTAATACAAGAAAGCTACATTATTCTTACACGACACGAATACTTGTCACTTGTTGTAAGAGGACATCATATATGGTATTAATTATATTTTATCTTTGAACTAGAACTGACAGAATATGTAGGAAATATATTTGAAACGAATTTATAATACTTTATATCTTCACTAGCTTTCCGCCCGCAGCTTCGCCCGCGTGGAGTTCGGTTATATCGCGTTTCCAAGAGAACCTTTCATAAGTCTGGGATTAAAACTATCTTATGTTCTTTCTCAAGGTCAACTCTATGTCTGTACCAAATTTCATTAAAATCAGTTCAGTGGTTTAGGCGTGAAAGCGTAGCAGACAGACAGACAGACAGACAGACAGACAGACAGAGTTACTTTCGCATTTATAATATTAGTAGGGATTGTCTTGACAAACAGATTGAGACATTCGATGTTAGACTTCCTGTTAATAAACAACGACCTAAATAGTGTTACTTAGAACAAACAGATTTTGATATTATCAATGATATTTAAAACCATATTTGAATAAATGAAACTAATATTAGTCGGATTACTACGCGCATTTTATTATTTTAAAAACTACATACTCTTGACGTTTCGGTTACATTTCAGCACCCGTGATCATGGACAGACAAGATGTGATATTTCGACGTCGCGAGTAAATCTGAATAATATTCGTTTCATTTAAATGATTACTCGCGAAACTCTTAGATCACACATTTGAGTAGCAACGCATTTGTTGTCGGGGTTTCGTTTCGGATAAATATGAGTTATTTTGGTGTGAAAATACATATATTGTATTTTTTCTGTCTAAAATCGCTGCTTCGCCTTTCATACATTCTTCAATAAAATAAATATTCTATGGCCTGGTAAAAATCACCACGAGGCGATTGCATCGTTCTTTGTTTCACCCCTTTTTAAATATTTTATTTCATTAATTTGAATTTGAATCTAAAAAAATATTATGAATTATATCCTGTATATATGGCTCCAAGATTGCGAGCAACTAGTTAGTAGTTTATGGGACTAACGTACGTTACACGGTTTAATTGTTTGACTGTTCCAAAATAACTCCAAACAGTTACAATTCCGACTGTAATGTAATGACGTGTTCTTCCCGTTCCGTGTCTCTCAATATAAACTTTGCTCAACTGCTTCGCTCCCAGTCAGATTCAAATTCAAGAGTCTCTTATTTTAGATGTTGAATTGAATCACATGACCACTAATTAACATAAGTAGTAAGTTTACCGCAAAAATCCTTTTGGATCACTTTTGGTCTTAAGATTATAAACTATGTTTTATTTCACACCATATTATTTACATCAATATAGTGAAAATTATAATTTAATTAGGTACTTTACAAACGACAAACATATATTTTTGGTCCTTCCTAACTTAATTAATACTTTTTATCCTTTATGATCTATTTATAAATTCATGTCACGTATTATATATGTTCAGTACTGACCTATAGTAATTTTTTTTTATCGGTTATAATATTCAGTTTACATCGAAGCATATAATGTTCTACCCAGTATATGTTTACTCGTGTAAATGTATGGTTAAGTGTGTAAATTTAAGTAAATTTAAATGTAAATTTTATTTCAACGGTTTGAAATTTTATATTTTTGGTCTACCACAATTCTAGATTAATACAGATTAATAATAAGAAGACCCTCTACTTATTAATCTGTGAATGTAGAAGTAAGTTTGGATACTTTAACCATGCGACGAAATAAAAATAATGATAATGTATCCATTTTAAACTTTAAATTTATTGTTACAGGTACTGGAAATAAAGCTGACTCAAGTCGTACAAACAACATGTGATAAGCTGATCAGGTTAAAATGTATAAATACACAACCAAGCATTTCCTGAAGAAAAAAGTAAGTATACTTGATATTCAACATTCAAGGTCTAAAAGACATTATGTCATAGTTTTATATTTTCTAATAACAAGAAATATGTGTAAAATTATAATGCTTTATTTGTTTGACAATACATACATATAGCAATAAAATTCGTAAATTGGACTAGGGTGAACCAATTTCAGTGCTGGAATCGCACTTAGAATCTGTAAACTGGGACACTGATAGAAGGATATAGTAATCAATTAATTAACATTTTTTTTTGTGTTTAATTTAGTTTAGTTTTGGAATAATTCCATCCTCTTTGAATTATCCGTACATTAAGATTTTTTTGTACCTTACAACACGTTCTAACTTTTACGTAATGATCAGTTGTAATATTTAACATTTAAGGTTCTGATGAATATACTTAAGAAAGTAATAATCTTATATACTGTCGCTTGCTCCAGTATTTTATGAAAAAAATATTTTGAATTCTTCAAAATACTTGCAATCTATCTATTAGGATTTATATATTTTTTTCTTGTATGGTCAATTGACCATACTTAAGTCATCCTGTTCCTCTATTCAACTTAATTATTTTCCTTAATATTATAATATAAAATCGAAATGTCGCATGCATAAAGCACGTTAAAAAATTATAACAAAATACTTTAGTGATGCCAGCTTATTTTTAATAATAATTCATACCGCGAATTTTTTAGCCGCCCCTTTTGTTTGGCAAGCATATTAATAATACATAGCTTTCTGCAAAAAGATGTGACTGTTGTTTTGGTTAACAAACTCATAACATTGTATTTTCTAAAAATGAACTATCACGAGAACAAGATGTAGAAACATCGAAAGGCACAACTCAACTACAAAGACGATTGTTTCTGTAATGGAATCGCTTTATTTCATCTAATTGTAATGACTTTTCCCTAATAGAGGCAAGTCCCGGGGATATTTACGCAATTCAAATACCTTACCATCTTACACCATTTCTATTTCTGTCATTTTAATATTAAATTGAACCGGAAAATTCTCACGGAATCCATACAATGTTTATAGCATTTATAATGAAGTTATCGGGGAACTTTCGCTATAATAAATAAATAAAAATATCTTTTAAAATTGAGTGTCTATCAGCTATAAAATATATTTAATAACCAAATGAGTGAAAAATCAATTTAAATTTTTTCTTCTTTCAAGCTTTTAATGGTGTTTCGTGTATGCCTATATTTTCAATGCTTAAATAGCATTTATAAAAGATAATTATTGTTCATATCTTCTCGATACTAATATTACATCGTATAGTTAGTCATTCACTTAAAAAAATTGTTAAAGTTTACAGCCTTCTTCAATAACTGGACTATCCAACAAAAAGAATAATTCAATTCGAACCAGTAGTTTCGGAGATTAGCGCTTTCAAACAAACAAACAAACAAACTCTTCAGCTAATTATGATTTCGACGGTCGGTGCAATGAAACCAAAATTATGACTTAAATTTAATTATAAAGTAAGTTACAACTAGGTTTGCGACTATGTTGCACGAAGGTTGAACAAATAGTAACAATAAATCTAATGAAATTCTTACAAGAAATATTATCATCTAAAAACATAAAAGAAATATAAAACCAAAAACTGTCTTCACACAGAACTGCTGAGTCAGACCGGTGTAGAATAGGCGAGTTTACCCAGAACCTAAGGCGTCCTCTGATTACACCGTATAAAGATAATTATATTTTAATTAAACGACCACTTATTACACCGTCACCTCCCTCCTGAAGATCAGCGAATATGAGGAACTTTAGTTGTGAATTGAGCTGGGGGTTGATTGAGGTCGACCCTTCTGGTAGGTGTGGGGATGGTGTAGACTGCTTGCAATTCCATCTGGTTGTCTTCAGGGTTATCTCCGGAATGTAATATGCGCTTGTAGAAATACTTGCGATATAACAGAGCGGCGGCTATTGCGCCTATACTTATCAGTACCACGTAGAGAGGGATGGTGGTGTGATATAGTATATAATTTGGGTTCTGGTCTAGGGTCAGCAATGGTTGTAAGCCGACCTTAGTGTCAATTTCATGTAGGTGCTTCAAACTGATAGAGTTTAGGTTGATTTTAGGTGCTGAGGCTGTGGTGACGCTGTAGCTGGGCAGGTCCATTATTCTCACCGCTTGTCCTTGTACCCGGTTATCGGCGTTTGTTAAAGTAAATTGCGGTGTTTCAATATAACATGATTGAGGAATTGTAACGAGATAGCTGCCGTGTAGTGTGCGATATGAATCTTGTCCACAGAATAAATGAGTTTTAGTCGGAGTTGGGAAACTGATACTGTAGTGTAGATCATCGAGTTTCTCAAAGGCTGCCTTCTTCAATGATACGGTGATAGGTTTGCAGGATGATGCTCGATGCTGAGTTATGATGAGGTGCTGGATACAGTCTTCGGTTTCCTAGCTTTGAAGATGGCGTTTGTCCTCGCAAAGATACCATTTACTGGACTTAGGGCATTCTGCCTCTATGTACATGAAATCTTTCTCATACAAGGTTAGGTACGGGAATGGCGGAATAAGGACTCCTTGATTGAGGTTAGGTATAATAGATTGTTTATACATATCATAAGTATAAGGTAGAACTATAGGGATTTTATAAACGATTACTATCTTATTTCCTACGCAATAAGAACCTGTACAATCCTGTATGTACGAGTATCTACTGCATACTTTTATTTTTTTTTTTTGATGACGTAGTGGAAACTCTTTTTACGAGCCGTCCAACCGGCCTTGGTGGGGCCGGAAGGGATGTGTGAGGCTCGGCCTGGGCAGGCCCCTACTCACTAAAACCACTGCGAAAGCCATCGGCCGCTATGTCGGTGTACCCCGGATCTGTCAGCGACAGGGCACACCAGCGACTGGCCGGTCCTGGCAAAGACCGGACTTACTCCCTCGGAGAATGGGGGCGATCCCGGCAATTAGGACCACCCCGACGACGCCGGACTTTCAATAGGGCCGGGTTACCACGCCGACCCCAGCCCGGAACACAGGGGTGCTATTGGAGGCGTAGGAATTGCCTCCGTCGCACCCCCGTACGTCGCCTGCGGGGGGAGGGAGCATCAGCCGCCCTCTCCCTTTCCCGCTGAGATGCCTCCTTCGTGGACATGACCGTCTCACAGAAGGAGGACACCGCCAACCAGGACCCATCACTCTCGAGCATCTTCTCCACGACACTCGAAAGCGACAGGTCCACTCCGCCGAGAGCCGCCACAAGGTCTTGGCGCTGCGCAGCCCATCTCGGACACACCTCGAGGGTGTGCTGGGCCGAGTCCACCGCAGCGCCGCACTCATGACAGCCTTCTCCCGGCTCTCTCCTGGCCGTCCGACACAGGTAGTAACCAAAGCACCCGTGCCCGGTTAAAACCTGCGTCAGACGGAAAGTGAGGGGTTTGCGTTTCCGCCTCATCCAACGCTCTAGGACCGGGCGAAGCGCTGCCGTTGTACGTCTACTGTACGGCTGCTCCGCCAGGTCCTCCCCCCACTCCCGCATAAGGCGCTCCTCCCCCTGCCGACGAACCGCTCGGATCTCCTCCGAAATAAGAACCTATCTTAATTATATCAAAGTATTCCCTAATATCTAAATCTAACACCTTCTGACTGCCATATAGGTTACTAACATTACTAATAAGAGAGTTCATAGTTTCCAAATTTAAGATCGCATGGTGCACGGTGGACAGTTTAATAAAACCTCATACGTTTTGAACTTTAGGTATATAGTTAATGGGAAACGGAATCTACATTATTGGTTATAATTAAAAGTATTTGAGCTAAATGTGCATACTCTCAAGTCTTATGTCTTGCGTTAGGGTTGATAGGAGGAAAAGATTAAGTACCAGGAGTTTCCTGCAACAACTGTGCACTTTTAGATACTCTTTTAAGTAGGGACTTGGAAATAAGACTTTTCTTTCGTTTTGTGTAAATGTGAATTGGGAGATTAGCTGTCACCTCGTCACGTGTGTAACGCGGGGCTGTAGTTTATCATTCATAACTAAAGAGATTTATCATTATCTTATAAGTATAGAAAATACTATCATTACATTTAACATAAACAGAAAATCGTTATTTATGTCAACAGTTAAGATTTTTCAACGGCAAGCCCTCCCCAGTTACCGCATTAGAGACGTATGGAGCTTACGTAACAAAATATAATTAATAAATAAAAACAATGGCTTAGTAACAGCGGAAATATAATAGTGTAATACTGTTTCTGAAATGATGAATGAGTGTAAGTGACATGTACAAAGACACAGTACCGAGTGTCGATAGAGCCGAGTCAAGTGTTGGATATTAATGTTGCTTTATGAGACGAACTGTTCCATATGAGTCACCGATGAGTTGTTACAATACAGGAGTAGTGTGAAGGTGGTTGTGTGTTGGTAAGAGACTCCTCTCATAGAAGGGGGAGGGTGGAGGGGGGGGCGGTAATAGAGGTAGTTTATGAATATTGCAGTAACTTAGCGGCAATTACTATACTGGCTTTTAAGTGAATCACTACTTAATAGTCTTTTATGTGTGTGTGTGTGTGTGTTGTAGTAAAAGAAATTAACTTGATTGTAGTCGAGACAAAAGGAAGTGTGCTTCTTTTTTATTAAGCTGCTTTACCGTTTCATTAGCTAAAAGTGGTTAGAAAAATTCTTTAGCCCAATAAGGTTTTTAATATTTCTGAAATTGAGTCTGTAAGTTACAGCGTTTTTAAATCTCTGACTAACTTTACTAAAACTGGTTTTAAATATACTTTTAGGTGTTTTTTTCCGTAACAAAATATATGTATGACATCATCATCAGCCTATCGGAGCCCACTGCCGAGAAAAGGCCTCTTTCTCACATGGAGACGGTTTGAGCTTTAATCACTACGCTTGCTCAAGACGGGTTGGTGATTTCAAACTTATAATTGTGATACTATAAGTCCTGGTTTCCACTCGATGTTTTCCTTCACCGTATGTCAGTGGTGTCTAAATACTCTCAGATAGTACATATGACTCCGAAAAATCACATTGGTACTTGCCAGGTTTGAACCCGCGCCCTCGACAACGAGAGGCGGACCCTTTAACCACTAGGCCACCATTGACTTAGTATAATCGTATGTCCGAATTAGTGAGCATTGTGAGGCTACTGTTACACATGCTTATTTCAATCACGAAAGCATGCTTTAATTGAGCACTTGCTGAGATCTAAAATTATTGCGAGTACTCATTTAAATAAAACTAATATTTTCGGATTTCCTACGACTATTTTATCTAATTTTATTTTATTTTATTTTATTTTTATTTTACTTTATTTTATTTTAAAAAACAAGACCGACTGACAGACACTCACATCTCGTCTGCCTGTGATCACGGTTGCTGAAAAGTAGCTGAAACGTGTATTCATTGTTGCTTAAAATAAGCATGCTTAATTAGAGCATGCTTTAAAATCGACAGGCGTGTCATTTTGAAGCATGCTACTAGCGGCGCGGGTGCAAGGGTGCAAGGGTGCATGCTTTAAGCATGTCTAAACACGTTTGCTTATTAAGCATGCCAGTACCGATCAGTCAATTACAACTGATGAAACGTCGTCTCCTCGTATTTTTGTAAGTAATTTAGCACTTGATCCCAAGTCCTGTCTTCTCGATATTTCATTTAATTTAAGCTTCTGGATGCATTGCATAGCCAGCAAAAGGATGGTCTTATCTTTGTTTGATCGGACAGAGAGCGAGAAAAGTATGCTTTAAAAAAGCGTATGTATCTGGAACGTTTGCTTTAAGCATGCTTATTCAGAAGCATGCTTGTTTAAAGCATGTGTAACTAGCCTAATGTATGTATATATTTGTTCCAGATGTCTGTCACAATGCCTAAACGATGGTATCGGTCGAGAAAGAACCAAATCGTTATTATAGTTTTCATAACCGCCTCTATAATATACTACATAAGTCTTTCTCTTAGTTTACAGAGGGAACAGAAACTTGATATTACCAGGAGGTATGTACATAGTTTTAACAGCTTTTTGGCTTATTAAAGGGTTATTAAAGCCTTAAAATTATTGTGACAGAATTTCTCGATTGTAGCTATCCTGAATATATCTTTCGTTTCCTTGTCTACTTACTTCGACTTATTAAAGGAAATCACCAAGATTCTGATACTACGACATAGGCACTTTTTAATTCCACAAACAACAAATGGATTTGTAATAACAACTGTATAAACGTTCTAATTTGTAATTAGTTTTAATATTGTATACCATTCATATTTAATACTATTAAATAAGTTAATAATGATACTGTTCGTATTATATTTTCTATCATCAAGAGCTTTAGCATCACAAATATAAAGGCTTAGATTTTTTGTTTCCACAAATTATTTGAATCGTTGTTTTTACAATGTTGATGAATGATAAATTACATATATTTCAGGCAACCTGTTATTGAGAAAGTAGAACTGTCTAGTTTGACGTATTTCTATTTTAGTTTACAATATAGTTTATATTTATAGTGTATAGTTATAATTTTTTTTAATATACATGAGGATTCGAAATGAAATTGTAACTTCAGAACAGCGTTGTACATAATTTTATCAATATCGGTTAATTCTTGATTAACCTTGATAATAATATGGGGTAAAATCTTATATTATTAAAGTTAGTCTTATTATTAAATAGTCTGAATTATTAACTTAGGAAGACAAACCGTTTTATATTTTTAATCCAGGTCCATGGAAAGACTATTAGAACAATCTCTGAAACAGGACACAGGCTCCGGGTGTGAGATACCCCGGTTGGATCCATTCTCTAAAGAAGTCACGCAGTTTGATAAGGACATACCCAAGGTTATGTGTTTGGGAACGGATTGGGCTAAATGTTATGTGAGTTAATATGATTTGGATACTGTTTTGTAATAAACTTTGATATTAAACACGAAAGATAACATATTATATTGTATGTATTAATATAGTTTTTTTCAGCATTCTAAATGTAGGGTAGTTCCGAAAATATTAAATACCACCGATAACATAGTATGTTCATACCAAGACATAATATATGAGAGTGATCAAAAATATACAATCGGTCCTCCCACAGAGGTCAGAGGTGATAACGAGTATGTTCTCACTAAGAGCGATCATGTAAAGGTTAAGTGTTCA